CTGGAACTCCTTATTCTCTCCATCACTCCATCACTCCAATCGTCCATCTCGTCGGTTGGAATGGTGTATCTTTTAATGATCAAATTCCAAGCTCCTAGATCATTGGCTTGAATGAAGAGCATCATCCTATTTTTCCAATAGGCATAATTTGCTCCATTGAAGTAGGGTGGCTTATTGACCAATTGTTAATCTTCAATGTAGTAGGCATCGGAGGTTGAAGCCATTTCTTTGTTGGTTCCTTTGAGAATTGGTAGACCTTCTTCTAGGAATGTCTCAATGTGGTTAAACCTTCTAAAGAGTTAGGCTCTAATACCAATTGTTGGGATTTGAAGAGGCTCAAATTGACAACCGAAAAAGTACAAAGGGGTAATTGGCAATAATTTTGATAACGGAGTAAGGAGAGCAAAAGATATAAAGATAAGGCATAATGATTTAAAGTGGTTCGACTTATCAACCAAGTCTACATCCACTACCTTAGCTCCTCATTAAGAATTTTCTAACAAATTCACTAATTTGTTCTTTCTTTTTCAAGGACAAAGAGATAACCTTTACAACTCCCTATATTTTCAATTGGCTAAGATAGAACCAAAAACCCTTTAATGAAGGTATTTACAAGAATTAAGCTCACAAAGAATAAATATTTACAAGAGAGAATGAAAATAAGAATAAAACACTTCTTCTCTTGTGTTTGAATGCTTGGATAGGTTCTTTAACCTTCTTCAAGTTCCTTAAACTTGTATTTATACGTTGGAATCTTGTTGTGGTCGTTTCTAGATGTTAGGGGTTGTTTAAAACCGTTTGGGGATGAAAACTCTACAAAATAAAAATGCTCAGTACAGAGGGTATCGATACTCCTAAAGGGAGTTTGGTACTCCTAAAGGGAGTATCGGTACTACCTTTGTTTATTTTAAATAAACTAGTCGTTGGGCCTTATGGTATCGATACTACACATATGGTATCGATATTACTATGTGAAGTAGTATTGGTACCCCTTTGGGTATCAGTACCATTTTTGCATTCTGGAATTTGAGCAATGCTGGTAGTATCGGTACTACCTAGAGAGTATTGATACTTCTATTACCTTTGGTATCGATACCATATGAATAATATCAGTACTTTTTCATTATGTATCGATACTGTAAGAACAATATCGATACTACTTGTACAAAAGAATATTTTGTGCTCAATCCCACTTTTAAGGACTTTTGAATTATTTTTGAAATCTTTGAAAACTTTTGAACAGATTCAATTCAAGTCCAAAAACATTTTACCTTAATTGTTATATCAAAAATATAGTTCAACAAGGTTCTTTGGGGACCTATATGCTTGTAATAATTAAAGCAATTTTTAACATAGTTGGGATTTGAGTGTTATCCTTTTTTTGTCCCAACATGGTTAAAACAAGCTTTAAGATCATCAAGTTTCTTTTAAAGATCATCATGAACCTTTGAAAATAACTTATGCAATTCTTGATTTTTCTTTTCAAACTCTTTAAGTTTGACTTGCTTATCTTTGACTTGACTTTCAAGTTCAAGATTAGTCTTTAAAAGCATATCATTTTTGTCTTTCAATTTTGAAATATTTTCTTATGCTTAGAAATCATGTTCTCAAATTCTAAGGCTAATTCATCATAAGCCTCTTCAAATTCATCAAAGGAATAATCATTTGAAATAGATGAATTAGAGGTTACCTTAGAATCATCCTCTATGGCCATGAGACACAAGTTGTCTACTCCTTCTTCCTCATCATTAAAGGACTCATCATCACTTCATGTAGCTACATGTGCCTTGGTTTCTTCTTGGAGGATCCATTTTTCTTCGATTATGGGAAATCAAACTTGACATGCCCGAGCTTTTTGCACTCATAGAAAATAATATAATCATTCTCCTTGGATTTATTTTTGAAGCCATCCTTTCTTTGGAATCTCTTTCCTTTGTTAGACCTCATGAATCTCTTAAATATTTTGGCAAACATTGTTATTTCTTCATCTCCATCATTTTCATTTGAGTCACTTTCTTCCTTTGTAGACTTAAGAGTAGCACTAACATTTTTATTTATTTTCTTCATTTTTTTTTCTCTTGTTCTTCTTCTTCCTTCACCATCATCCCACGAGTGATCAAAGACCTAATGAGCTTATCTAGATTGAGAGTTTTTAGATTCTTTGTTTCAGCAATGGTAGTCTTCTTAGATTTCCATGACTTTGGAAGACTATATATCATCTTGCTAACAAGTTTCTAATTAGGAATGACTTCTCCAAAACCTTTTAGACCATTGACAATAACAAAAAATAGATTGATCATGCTTTTAATATCCTCATTCGGTCTCATATTGAACTTTTCATAATTATGATTGAGAAGACTAATCTTAGTTTCTCTTACCTCATTAGTTCCTTCATTAATAACTTCAAGTTTGTCCCAAATCTTCTTGGAATTTGTACAAGATGAAACTCTCTCATATTCATCGAGGCTAAGTGTACAAAATAGAATGTGTATTGCCTTTGCATTGAGTTGGAACAATTTTCTTTCTTCTTCACTCTATTCCGCCATAGCTATAGTTTGAGTAGAATATCCACTCAACATGATGCTCCAAGCTTCCAAATCACTATCTTGGATGAAAAACATCATCATATTCTTCTAATAAGCATAGTTGGCTCCATTGAAGTAAGGAGACTTGTTGATAAGTTGGAAATTATTGACAACATCAAATCTTGGTAAATAGACCATGGATGACTTGATTTATGACTTGAATCAACTAAGATCTTCTCAAGAGGTGGTAAGAACTTCTAATAAGCTTGGCTATGATACCAATTGTTGAGTTAAATAATCAAGAAAAATGGTGAAGAGGGGGTGATTTGGCAATAAAAATTTGTTTGAAGCTTAAGCAAGAATTGAGAAATTGATACAAGAGATTTAGAGTGGTTCAACTTCCTTAATGAAGTTTATATACACTACCTTAGCTTCTTAACTAAGGATTTCAACAAATTCACTAATTTGCAAAGTTTAACCTTACACAATAATAGGACTTATACCCCAAAGTCTTTAATGTTCAACCCTTCCCAAGAAGTAATTACAAATGAGAAAACTTTTGAATATCTTCACAAAGGTATTTGTTTGCAAATTGAAGCTCTAACACGCCCAAGAACACTAGAATAAAAATTACAATGAAATGAATAATGTTCAATGTAAGAAAGACAGAAAATGAATATGAATTTTCCTTTCATTGATCTTTGATTGTTAGAATAGCTTTCTTGTCTTTTCTTAGCTGTTTAAAGACCCCTTTTATTTGTCCTCATTGATTTCAAGCTATTTGTGGTTATTAGAGGGAGTTTGGAGCCGTTTGAAGCATTAAATTTGCGTATTGAATAAAACCTGCAAGAGGTTTCGAAACTATCTAGGAGGTTTTTGAAACCTTCCTTTCAAAAAATTGACCGTTAAGCAGGGGGTTTCGAAACCTGTGAGGGGGTTTCAAAACCTTAAGGCCAATTTTGGCTACTGCCTTAGGGGTTTCGAAACAACCTAAGGTGGGCTTCGAAACCAGGTCCAAAAATTCTTAAAAATATCCTTTTTTTCATGTTTAAAAAATATTTTTAAAAACTTTAAAATTTCAAAAACAATTTTAAATTTATTTTTGATATTTTGATCCTTAAAAATTATTTTTACAAACTTGAAAATTCTTGAATCCAATAAAATATTAATTTTACAAAATTTGCAATTTAATCCTATGTTATATCAAAATCATTTAAGTACATTTATCAATAATGTTATCATAAATATGATATAAATTAAGTGACCAATTATGTTATAAAGTCATAAGGTATTAAAAATGTCATGTAAATAAAAGTGTAGATACTATTAATGTTTTATTTATAATTTGATGAGGGGTAGAGTTACAAGTACAAACAATAACTAATTCTTAAATCAGCTATATAAAGAGGTTATGATCCCCAAGAAATAGAAAATCTCGTATTTTACTCTTATCACCGTCAGAGAGTTTATACTTAAGAGAACTCTATCTTCTTGGAAGATATACTCAAGGATTCCAACCTATCAATTAATTCAAATACGCTTCCAAAAATCTAGTATTTATTATTCTTGGTGATTTGGCATGATTATATCCTAACTGATTTTCATATATTATGATTCCAGTTCTAACAAATGCATGTATTGCTGCAAAAATAACATTGTTAGCATTAACTACCATGTAATAATCAATTAATGGAGGAAATAGAATAATTTATTGTGTCGTAGTATGAAAGGCAATGCCTTATAAGTAATTTCGTCTGAATTGGTGTAATCCCAAAAATGGACGTTACCCATTAAGGGTAACACAATCTTGCAAACTTCGTATGCCCAAATCAAGGAAGTGAGAACTCGCTTGTGTTGCACTCTTCAATACAAAAATTCCGTAAGGGAAATAATAAAACTATTTGTTTCTATGTATTCTATTAGGAAGAGAGATTTCCCTTTTATAAGAACAGTAGAAAGTTAAAGTTGTCAAATAACAACCACCTACTCCAGTTACTCCCTAAAAATGCATAACATATTCGCTAAAATATCTCTCCATTATCTGCATTACCAACAATAAGGTGTGATAATTGACCAAGTTATAACAAATCGATAAAATTAATGGTCAATTTTTTATTTTCTAGACCTCAAGGGAAACAAAAACTTACTCAAACATTAATAATTATTTATGTATTTTTTACCCTTATTTTTAGCCAAAAAGGAAAATCTATTAGTTTTGTGTTTTATTATAGCAAAAGCTAAAATACGAAACAATAGCTTTCGTCTATACTCTCAACTATTCTTATGAACCAATTCTCTCTCTTTTCTATGAGTCAGAAATGGCTGCAAAATCACTGGTTTTCTTTTTTCAAATTCCGTCTACAAAAATCATTGTAATATGAAAGAGGGATTTCTAATTCTTCAGTTTAAATTCTGAATCTATTTTTAATTATTGGTCTATCTATACATCTCTCTATGTAGAAAGGGGGAATATATATATAAGGGTAAGAATTAATAATGATAATTATAATCTGGAGTAAAAAGATACGAAAGTAGCTAGGTCGGTCGAGGTCGAGCCAACCAAACTGAGCTGAGATCTCTTAGGCGATGGAAATACTGGGTGATCGCCAACAAACATCTTGCAGATTGATGGATTGTCAACATGTGATGTAATCGGAGGATAGCTTGATGTCTCAGATTATCTGCCTGCAAAAGTAAAATATATGTTAAATTAAAGGGACAAAATATCAAGTCAAATTAATTTATATGAAGTCCAAAATCTCTTTCAATAACTTGGACTGCAACATTAAGACTAACACGTGCTACCTTGACTTTGAGGACAGAATTTAAGATAGATTTGCTTAGTAATTGCCCATCCACTTGTGTACCTTGTCAAATTCTAGAAGAAGACACCTCTTGAAAATTTAAAATTCTCATATAATTTAGATATATATTTTTTATTTTATATTAGTTATCTAATTTTATCACTATTAAATATTTAATGTAATTTCCTAAATTTCACGCTTCTTGATATGATATAAAATCTTACGTCCGGCTTTGGTTTTAAGAGATAATTCCAAGCTGATCATTCACTTAAAGCTTGTTAATTTCATTTTGAACCCATTCTTCGAAGGTACTTTGCTTACAGAAACTTGAAAATCTAATAAGCTATAGTTCTGCAGGTGACTCTTGACTTATCATGCTTTCCATGGATATCGCTCAGAATTTGACCGAAGGGATCCTAAATCCTTATGATTTAAGGTTTTTTTTGGACGCATAATTTCAAAAGGCTTAGGACCCACCTACCTAAACCGTCGACAAGTTGAACAAGAAATACCCTGATCACCACAATGACCAAGTTAACTAAATGCTCTATCAAAGATCAAACAACATCATTTATTGATCAAGTAAAGCTCAATCGTTTTCAGAACCATAAAAGAACATACAATACTTCTCCAGTCTGAAAAAAAATTCAAATTTGAACTCCAAAATCCACATAAATTCGTTGTTTTCTTTTCTTTTTATTGAAAGAGTTGGGGTTTAAATCTTTCAGCCTCATTAATCACAATAGCCCATTTTTATTACTTGAGATAAACATGAAAGATTGAAGGGATTTTTTAACAGTATGGGATGATTACGAGGTAGTATCTGTTTAAAACTTTCTCAACTAATCGACAACACATTGCAAACACAGTTACTCAAACTTAAATTTTTTAAGCAGAAGAAGATGGGTTCAAAAGAATAAAATTAATTGACTGTGGATAGACTTGGACATGTTGGGGAAGACTTGGCCTAACGCAAAGAAAGTTCAAGAAAGAACGTTGTGTCTTTAAGTCAAACCGTTACGACTATGACATCAACATATATATATAACATTATTTAAGAGATAGAGAGAGAGAGCACCAGCATGTGAAAATGCAAATATTCTTAGACTTGGTGGTAACAATCAGGTGACAAGTTCATTAATCTCTCTACAAATTGTCATGATTGCTAATTGGAAAAATAATATGCCCATTGTTTCAAATATAAGAAATTCCTACAGGTGTTTTAAGTCTTGAATGCTATAAACATACACTAATCTATTGCATATGTGAACCAAAATATCTGATGAGTTAACCTAGAAGATAGGTACCACATATGTGAACCACCAAAGCCATTATAAGGATGGAGTAATTTCATGGAAAGCTTATATATGCTGATCATGAATTCATCATCATTCATGGGGCTGGGGGTCCACAAGCACATCATCCATGATAACAGAATAGGAGTAAATACCTGTGTAACAAAATCTTCAAGGGTGGAGAGCTTGTTGATGGCCATAGCCATTTGGCCCATGTAGTTAGTCATGCTAGGAGGGCAGCTCAGTGAGTCAGATATGATATCTGAAAGAGATTTGTTCATTGCTTCCAGGCCTTGTGTTAGAGCTTCTTCTGCTTCATGTGTCGACTGCTGCAACCCACATATCCCTATTATCTGCTGCTCCGTCAGTGCCTCTATCTCATTCAATATAACCTGAAAAATAATAACAAGAAAACTATAAATCTATGGTAGTGATTACATAATTTAAATAACATCCACTATGTCCGTTATCGTGATAAATTCAACGTAACCGAGCAACTGCAATTTATATCCGATTTTAGACTTCAAGTTTGGGTGTTATTAAGTTACCTTGATGAGTTGAGATGGGCGAAACCCGCCCATCCACATGAAACATCGTTCAGCAGGAGTCATCCACGTACCAGACACAAGGTGAAAGACGTCGGTTTTAGCCAGCATGCTTTTAAGGTTCATCACATGGTCCAAGTGTGCTAAACAGTTGTCGACCAAGATCCCAAGCTCATTCTCCGGTACATGCTGATGAACTGCTGCTCTAAGCTCGCACATTACTCGATCATGCTCTTCTCGCCATCTTGCGTACTCCATGTCAAACATGGCAGCATCTGAAGCATAAAATCCCAGTTCATAAACATATATATAGCCATTATTAAAAATCCAAAATATGAAGACGGCTCATTTATATTTATAGTATATAAACCTGGGCTTATGTTGTTAATACCAACAGGAAGGCTTTGGTCTCCTCCTAGGGCTAGGATATTACCACCGCCAAAGAACACGCCCTAAACAGAAAAACAAATAATCTCAAATATATAGAGAAACAACATATATAATATCAAATAATCTCACTTGAGCTCTGGCTCTTTGAATTTCTTGTTCCAGTTGGGTAAGCTTAACCCTACTCGACTCTAACTGCTGAACATATGCCTGTCATCGAATTAACAGCAAAAATAAATGAACGAACTCCAGAAATAATGCTTTGGTAATTTCTTTCATTAAAGCTTTGTTTAAATGAGATGACCTTTTTTCTTAGCCGGCTTTTCCTTGCTGCTTCTCTATTCTGAGCAAGTCTTCTTAATGTCTGATGGGAAATGATACAGATAAACTACATTAATCAAGACTTGTTTTCCATTTAAAGAAACCAAGAATAAAGGTCCTATATAGGAAGAGGGATTTAAATGAAAATTGTAATCGTGTTTTTGGTTATGTTTATTGCGGTCACTGACATATTAAATATTATTGCGGTCATTGAGTATGTGGTCATATAATAACTATTTCATATGACACAAATCCATTACGATAACGGATTGCTATTTAAATTCCAGTCAGAAGGCAGAAGAATTAACCTTAGTGTCTGGCGTGTTGGGTCCTTCTTGCTCAGAACTTGATGTTGGCCCTTTACTATTCCCCTCACGCTGCCAAATTAAAACATGGATTTGTTAGTAAATCAAAATCAAAACATATGAATTAATTCATTTGTTTTTTTTAATATGAAGAGCTAGCCTATCATACCTTGACAACTTTAACTGCCCCATCATTTCTGGCGTTGGCCAACTCCATCGACGACTCTGATGGTCTCTTTGAACAACTGTTAGTTGCTGGAGAAACTAGTCCTGTATTTGTCTACCAAACAAATATCAGGTAAAAAGAAAATAACACTTGAGAAAATTATTAGTATTTGCAACATCTACCAACATAAAACTTTTTTTTATTAGTGTAAGTTTATTGCAAGGTTGTACTTGTTCGAAATATTCTCAATCATAAGACAATAAATACTCAAACACCCCTATAAACACCCGGCTTGAATCAAAGACATCTAGGCCGTCTGATGGTGCGTCTGATGGTGCACCAACATACAACTCTAAATACTCAATAATAATAATTTTCACCTTTGCTGATGATGGTGGCTCAACATGCATAGGCTGAGAACGGAAAATGTTGAGAGTGGGAGGCTTCATTCCAGAGTTATCTGCGTATATAAATCCTCAAGACCCATTAACTCAACAATAAAAAAGAAGCGGGAGTGGTAGAGACAGGACTCACTTGTCTCGTGTTGAATAGTAGAAAGGTCTTGTCCGTCAAGATAGAGTAAAAGGGATTGATCTAATTCACCCAAATCATAAGATCCACTGTCTTTGCTTCTGCTTACCCTCAACAAAAACAAGAAACATGATATTAAAATCTTTAAGCGTTTCCACTAAGGAAAGAAGAAAATAAAAAAAGAGGGGTTGGGTTTGTGTAGTTTTGCACTGAGAAAGAACTTACATTAAGTTGTCGGGGATGGAAGATGAAGACGACGATTGCATCATTGCATAAGGAAGCTGATTCAGATGATGTTGATTATTTTGTTGACGTTGTTTCAGTAGGATAGATTGGTTCATGTAATTGTCTCCACGGGTACCCATCAACCAAAGTTAAGCTAAACTTGTAGTACTTGAAGATCTCTTGAATTCAGAATTAATAACGAAACCAGCTTCCTTTTTATATCATTTTTTTTCACCTCCACCACCATCATCTAACCAGTCATGATACATACAGTCAGAGAGAACACAAAAACAAGGAAAAGAAAAAAACAAGTGGAACTTGTAATCACGGAAACAAAAGGAAAACCCCCTTTTATATCTCTATAAATGAGTATGACTTTCTTAAAATAAAATAAGACCAATTTGTTAGAATTTTCATTTATTTATTTTTAGGATAAATTACACGTTTAGTAACTTAACTTTCATTTTTTTTCTATTTTAGTCATCCAACTATTTTCTTTCGAAATCCTACCTAATGTTTTTTATTTTATTTTAGTCATCCAACTATTAAAAAAATAATGATGATGTTGATGTGTCGCCATAAGATAATGTCACATCATCGTTAAATAAATAAATATCACATCAGTGGTTCTGTTAATTTTTAAATGATGGATGATCAAAATAAAACCAAAACGTAATATTAAGTATGATTTGAAAAAATATTTGAATGACCAAAATGAAATAAAAGGATAATTAAGGTACTAACCGCATAGTTTACCATTTAGACACCGCTTATTTGGAATGTCTATAATGACCTTACCAAAAATCATATTGATTATTGGCATTTTTCATGCATACACGTAGATGTTGCGGTGGCAACAAGCCAACAGCAGTTCCTTTTTTACATTATATATATCTTATTGATTAAAAATATTTGAATAAAAGTATAAACACATTAAAGTAGTTTGGTTTTGGAAGATTGGTGAACCCAAAAAGTCAATGCACTAGAATAAGAGAGTAATCATAGACTATTTTATTATAGGGAAAAAATGAGGAAATTAAGTTGTTCATTGAATTCAACCTTAACTTAGACAAGATATCATGTAGAATTTTGGACATTTTGGACTTAAGAGAAGTTCTTTATTTTCTTAGGGTTTAGTTGGATTAAATCAATCAACAAATACATATTTTGAATGGGAATTCAAATTAATCACCTGTTTCTTTTCAAAAGATTGGAATGATATTTATTTTTCGATAAAATAAGTTTGATTTATCATTACAAAATAAGTTCGTTAACATTTTGCTCGTCCCGTGCTTGTTTAAAAAATTGTTACTCGACTCATTGCTGGTTAAACTCTCTAATGTTTTTACCTTATTTTCTTAACTACTTGTAAAATCTATTAATACTATATAGAGCTTAACATAAACATAAATTAATAAATTTAACAAAAAATTATCAAAGATTGTATGAAGCAATTTCACAGTCTAAACTTCAAAGCTACAATCAACAAATATATTAAAATAATAAATATAGTTTATTTTTGGGTATAGTAAAATATTAATTAATAATTTAGTATTTTTTATTGTTTATTAGAAAATTAATAGATTAACAATTTACCATTTTTTATTATCTATTAGGTGCGTTGGTTCACGGAATGTAAGATTACCAGTGGAATAAAAGATTACCAGGGAATAAGATTACTGGGAATGTTGTATTTTTTGTTGGTTGGTTTAGCGGAATGTAAGATTATCGTATTTGGTTAAATGAATAAAAGATTATTGAAATGTATATTTGACCAAATTGTCCTTATTATATATTTATTTTTTTAACAAGTTGGAAAATATTTATATATTTTCTTTAAAAAAATTAAATTCATAAAATTTATATAATTTTTTTACAAAATTGAAAATATAAAAAGGTTTAATGAAAGGGTAAATTTTTATTTTAACCCCTGAACTTCATATAAAATTTTAATTAGACTTTTTTTGTAAATCCAAAATAGTTTAAGGATAAATTTGTAATTTAACCTTCGTAGAATTTTTATTATTCAATGACAGAATAAGGATGTTTTTGAAAGAAAAAAAATTTAAGGGCATTTTAGTCCAAAACGCCGGTAATCCAACAATACCTAAGGAAAGGAAGGTAATGACATTCCCGGTAATATACCCAAAAAAATCCACTTTTGGTAATGTAAGATTACTGGGAATGACATTCCCGGCCAACCAAACGGGGGAATGTGGATTCAATTCCCATGGGAATCTCACATTCCCCCAACCAAACACACCCTTAGTAAATTAATATTTTTTTAATGAAATTATATGATAATACACACCTTAATTGATGTTGAAGACCCCTTTGATTGTTGGATCTAGGAAGGTAACAAGTAATCATGCAAGATAGACTTAAGAATAAAGGTTAAAGGTGGGCCGATGTTAAGGTGATAAGGTGGGCTAAAAATCAAATAAGAAAGAAGAATAAGAATGATGATAAGTGGGTTGTTTGGTGATGATATGGGCATGGTGACGGTTTAAGAAATAAAGGATTAATGGTGATGGAATAGTATGAACAAGAACAAAGTAGAACCTAGGCTATAATAAGCCTAACCCCACACCTTATAAGTTCAAGTTCGGCGATAAAAATGACTTGGACCTTTTGGTTATATAACAACTAAGAACAACAAGTATCAGGATCGAATAGAAAGTGTGACGCCACAAGCAAAATGTACTTGATAAGTCGATATAGTTCTAAAAATAACTTGAAGAGAGAAAATTCTCACAAAGAAAAATTTATTTGATAAAAATGAGATGCCTTACAAAGACAAAGCATTGGCTATTTATATATTTCAAATGGGTGTGGCAACAATGTAATAGTTCAACTAAGAGTGATGCCTGTATCATCCTCAATACCGGGTTAGTGACTAAATTATAAAACTTTAGAATTTAGTGAATAAAGTAGATAACTTGAAAATTTCAGGGACTTATATGAAAATTTTGTGTAGGATAAAATAACAAAGAAGGATGTTTGGAAGGATAAAATGGTCATTTGACCAGTAATGAATTAAAATGTGATAGGAATGAGATATATACACATGGGATATGTAGAATAGGAAAAAGAAAGGTTTCCAGAGTTATCTTCATCATTCTTCTTTTTTTTCCATCGTGAAACCAAGGCTGCCAAGGTGAGTCTTCTTGTTAGTTGATTTTGGATTGAATTTAAGTTGGTTTATGATCCTTGAATGATACTTAAGCTTAAGGAAAGCTTATGTTGTCTTAAAATTATAAGATGAAAGAGTTAGAAAGGATAAAATATAAGGGGTTGCTAAAGTAAATCTTGGGAGAAGGGTAGTAATCAGATTTTGAGATTAGAATTGACTTGTCATCAACTAAATTAAGAGATATGAAGTGATAGAATTGAAATTAGAACATATTGAAAATTTGGTGTGATTCTTGATTTTCATATGGATGATGGGATTTTGAGGTTAAAAATGTGTTGAATAAATAGAACTTGGTTTAAGTATGTGTACTTAAGTTAAGAGTATTAAAGGGATTGAAATATGAAGGATTTGAGTTGATAGGAGTGAATTTCGGATTAAAAATGTAAAAATCTGGGCTTGGGTGTCGGTACTGCTTCATCCAGTACCGATACTTCAGAGTAAATAGGGACTTTTGGTATAGGGGTATCGATACTGGTTGAACAGTGTCGATACCATAAGTCTGAATTTGATAAAGGCATTCATGAGGTATCGATACCAATTTGGAGGTATCGGTACCATAGCATAGTAATATCGATACCAGGTTAAGGGTATCGATACCAGAAAACATCGAAGTTAATTTCGGTATCGATACCAAGAGGAGGTATCAGTACCCCATAATAGAAGTATCAATATTGTGCTTGTAGTACCGATCTACTTAAGTTGGAAGTTGATATTAGTATTTTGGTTAGTTTAAATTAGTATGAATCTTTTTTGGATATTTCAAATTCCGATATTCATTAGATTACACTCAAAGAATTAGAACGGTCAAGAGACAAATAAAGTTCTAGAATTGATTGGAATCAAGTAAGACTAAGGTGAGTGCATATCATATTTAGTATCGATATTGTGTTATAGAAATAAGACTTGTGATAAGTCTATTTCCTATAGTTGAGTTCATGATTTCAAATTTATGTACATGCATATGTTATGAGTAGAATAAGTATGTGCATAATTCATATATGCTTTGATATGATATAATATGTGATGAATGCAACTATAACATAATAATTCAAAGTATGTATGAAGAGATAAATGATCATTTATGTACATGTGATTTACTATATGAGAAGTGATGTGAAAATGTAACAGGTATTATGTTTAAGCCCATGGTATATTATATGAGGGATATAGATATAATTGGCATGCCAAGAGTCGAGGGATTATAAGTGGTCCCTCGGGACATAGTGGCCATTCGGGACAAATTTGAAGTGCCCCTAGTGGGAATTGATTCAAGCTGTGGTGACAACATTTGTGCACAACCTCAGTGTAGTCAAGTACATCATGTTCTCAATAATGTGCATGGGCATTGTCGTAACCGGTTTTCGTCCGGGCACGAAATATTATACTTGGCGGGAAAATTGATATGAATAAATGGTTTTGAAAATAATTTGAGAGTCGCCATCGGCCTTTTGGGTCAGGTAGGTCGAATACCTAAAAATTATTTTTTTTAAAAGAGTTTTAAGAAAACATCAATTAAAAAAATGAACTGATCTGCGTTTATAACCAAAAATTCGTTCTTTTTAATAATAAAAAGGGATTCGTGGTCGGTTACGTTTAGGGAAGGATTAGCACCCCTACAACGCCCAAAATTGGTACTTTTTAATTATAAATTGTCTCTATTATTAAAATTTAAAAATTCAAAATATATTTAATTTATAATCCTATTATTTCAAAATTATATAAAAAATATTTAAAAATATCGGAAAAGGACTTCTAGGTGCCTTAAGACAGCTCTTTTCTTTGATATTAATAATATTAATTTGAATAAATTAAATAATAATTTTTACAATATTTAATTTTAAAATACCAGAATAGGACATCCAGTTGTATTAAGACTGCCCTTTTCTTTGATATTGACAAATAAATGTTAAAATAATTTATTAAAAAATAATTATTATTATATATATATTTGACTACATAATAATAATAAAAATATTTAAATATATAAACAAGTAAAATTAAAACAATAAAAATACAATTAGAACTATATATTTAAAAGCAATAAAATAAATGAAAGATTTAAAATTAGTG